AAGTTCAAGTAACAACAAAAATACCCATATCTTTCTCTAATATTTCATTCTTCCATTTCTCCAGGTTCTTTATCACTCTGCCAGCAAGGTCCGGATCCTTGACCTCAGCCTACACAGCACCCAGAGAACTGCTCCAAACCAATGCCCAGTGACTTCTTGGCATGGTCCAGGTGCTACATGGACTTAGAACCATAAACACTGGAAAAGACCTCTAAGATCATCCAGTCCAACTGTCCAACTACCACCAACATTACTCACCAAACCATGTCCTTGAGTACCACATCTACACATTTCTTGAACACCTTCAGGGATGGTGATTCCATCGCCTCCATGCCTGTTCCAATTCCTCACCACTCTTTCTGAGAAGAAATGTTTTCTAATGGCCAACTTGGACATCCTTTAGCTCAACTTGAGGCTGTTCCCTCTTGCCCTATCACTGTTACCTGAAAGAAGAGGCCGACCTCCACCTTGTCACAGCCTCCTTTCAGGCAGTTGTAGAGAACGATAAGTCCTCCCCTGAGCCTCCTCTTCTCTAGACCAAACCATCCCAGATCCCTCAGTCACTCCCCATCAGACTTGTGTACCAGACACTTCACATCCCTGTTGCCCTTCTCTGGACATGCTTCAGAGCCTCAATGCCTTTCTTGTAGTGAGGGGCCCAAAACTGAACACAACACTTGAGGTGCAACCTCACCAGAGCTGAGTACACCCACCTCCCTGTCCAGCTGACTACACGATTTCTGAAACAAGCTGGGTTGGCACTAGCCTTCTTGGTCACCTGAACACACTGCTGGCTCGTGTTCAGTTAAGCGTCAGTCAATACACCCAGATCCTTCTCCTCCATGCAGATTTTAGCCACTCTGCCCCAGCCAAGCCTGTAGCAGTGCATGCAGTTGTTGTGATCAAAATGCAGAACTTGGCACTTGGTCTTGTTGTAGCTCATACAGTCGGCCTCAGCCCAGTGATTCAGCCTGCCCAGATCCCTCCGTAGGGCCTTCCTACCACGCATAGATTGACGCTTCCTCCCAGCTTAGTGTCATCTGCAAACTTACTGATGGTGCTCTCAATTCCCTCATCCAAATAATCAATAAAATACTGAACAGGCCCCAGTACCAACCCCTGGGGAACATCACTCGCGACCAGTCACCAACTGGATTTGACTCCATTTTACTCCCTGGGCCCAGCCTGCAGCCAGCTATTTGCCCAGCAAAGAGTGTAGCTGTCCAAGCCACGGGCTGCCAGCTCTTTGCATAGGTGGCAGGTGAGATCTCACCATAAATACTCCCGCTGGGGACCTTCTACAGCCTCAGGATCAGACGACATAAAGAGAACATCTAGAATCTAATTAGTGTCTCACTCAGAATGACAGAGATAAATCAACTGCAGAATCAGACTAATTCTATAAGAACTGTGCTTGTCAACTTCCTGATTCAGAAACCATTTGTTCACTGTGCTTCCCACCACAAAAAATAGCCCCCTGGTAGCACATAGCTATTCTTTCCTATTTCTCAAATTTTCAACAACGTTCTTTATTTCAACTAAAGTTGAAATATTTATTTTCAAAAGCTATTTCTGACTTCTGTGTTATGATACCACAATTTCCTGCTTATGACAGAGACAGGAATGGCAATGTTTCAAAGAGGACTAAGGTCGTTACAAGTGTGTGTGGCTGAGGAGAAGAGGAAAAGACAGATCAAAAGTGAGACCTTCTTATGTCTAGACATTTCTGCATGAATAAACATTATTACAGAGAAACACACATCTGCATGAAGAGTTCTGTATGATTGTACTCACATGGGCTAGAACAGGCCTTTGTCTAAACCTGTCCAAAGGTCTTTGCATAGCTTTGACCTCTACTTGCTAACAAGTACAACAAGCCTGTTTGGCTGCCCTTAGCGCCAGAGCAGAACCTGGAAAACTTAAAACTAATAAAAATACAAATAATAAAAAAGGGAAATGAAAGCAAATCTTTTCAGTAAAAGAATAGGAGACATAACAAAATGAAAACACTGTTCTTGGTAGTACTGTGTTGCTGTATGAGTTTGCCCTCTGTGACAGCCTCCCGGTGGTGCCAAGGCAGTAAAGCTGGGAAAACATCTACATTCTCAGTACAATGGAAATTTTTCACTCACGTGGTAAAGTAAGGGCTTTCATCATCGATGTTAATTATATTTATATTCACTGTTCTAGTAGAGTTTAGTCCTTCTGGATCTGTCGCTGTTATATTTAAAAAATAGCTGTTAAATAAGAAAACAAAACAAGAATCACTCTTTGGCTACATAGAAAAGCATTGCCTACTGCAAGCGCATGAATAAGAGAAATTCTCACCAGTGTGGATCCTTCTCGTAATCTATTTTTTTTCTTGAAAAAATGTCTCCATTTTCCAAGACCTGGAATGGCACTGATTCAGGGAGTGGTGAATACTGAAATGAAGAAGAGAATGAATTAGTTTCTGCATCATTTTGCTTGAGCATCCCTCTGGTCGTGCACTGCTTTGTATAAGGGCCGAGGCACAGCACAGTGTCTGACCCAGAACTGCATGATGAAGCACGAAAACACATAGATGCATTTCCCTCTTTGAGTCCAGCTCCTGAATGTGCTCTTTTATGTAACAACAGCCAACAGGACAGAGCTGCAAAACAATTCTTAGCTAATTGCTGCTACTTTTCTCCTTTCTGCAAACAAAGTTATCATTTCCCAGGGATTTTTGCTGATATCCAGAGTATTTTCCAATATGTTAATCCATTTGCTTAACTGAGGGTCACAGTGTGCCCCAGGATTGTCACAAAAATAAGATTCAATTGCCTTGTGACCAGTTTCCTTACTGTCTCATACGAAAGAATTTACATTGTGACATAGAAGATAAAAACTATACATGCTTTCAGTCACTATAATCTACTAAAAATGTTCTGAAGCCATTTTTTGTTTTTAAATACATGATTCCTGCTGTATCTCTGATTAACTGCATCAAATTCTGCCTTTAGTGCCCCTTAGTTTTGGAATGCTGAGAATTCAAAATACAATTTGTGTTCAAACATTGAGGCTGGATTTCCTCAATTTATTATTGACAACGCTTCAACCTTTTCCAGTGTTCCTGATGATGAAGTGTGTTGTTGGAAGAGGCAATTAGCACTTCAGATACAGCGGTTGATATAATTTCTGGTTTTTTTTTTCCTCAGCTTACTTTGAGTTCACCGTTTTCAGGATCTGTTGCATTGACTCTGTAGATGAGTCCAGGAGGCATTCCTTCCAAGACATAGATCCTCACAGCTGCATGGATAGAAGTGCACACAGTGTTAATTGCACAATAATGAAGGGCACACTAGCAAGAAGACTGACATTCTGAAGCTGTCTGGGTGCATTACTGTCTGATGTGTGCTCTCACTTCACCAGCCCCTATCAAAATTCTCACAGGAATGAACACAAACACTCAAAAGATTAAAAGGAAAAATGTGTAGACATCCCTCACTGATAGTTGAGACAGACTGATCTGTAAATAAGGTCTTCCCTGAGCTGCTCAATGGGTATGGAGCACAACCACATTTTGTAGATACATGTCTGTCTCAACCATGCAGATGGAGAGAACACGATCTGTTCTCCATCCCCATCCCCTTCACACCCTCCCCTGCCCCCTGCCAGGAGACTTCAAAGCCTTTCCTCTTCATTTATACTTTTCCTTTACATCTGTGGAGTGAATACATGGTAGATGGCCTGTGCTTAATCTCCTGCCTTACTTAGAGTAAGGGGTATTCCTCCACAACTTTGCTGCCCCACACTCAGCCACTGGCAGCTGGCTCAGGCACAGTGATGAGTGGAACAACATCTCCTTAGATCCCATTATTTGCTTTCTGCCCTTTGTGTCTGCTGAACCTGGCATTTCTGGACTATTAATTGCTGCTGTGACCCCTGCTGACTGCTGCTTCTCATCACGGCAGTGGGAACCCCAGAGCAGCGTAATGAGTTGTTCCCAGAGGACAACAATACAAATATAAGGTTTAATGAGAGGGAGATGCTTTTTAATAACCAACGAATGCGCAATTAGTGTCTAATTGTGGCTGGTACTGTTAACTACAGCCATGCAGTTAGACAGATCAGACATCTGTGCTCACCAATTTATGGCAGCTCTAGCTGAGAGTTAAGCTGATGCACTTATTTGTAACAAGCTCTCACGTAGTATGTTTCACGCTGTGCCAATCCCCTGAAGTGTCACATTTAATTATTATTAGATTCCATCAGCACCCATGATACACAAGACACCCTCAACACTGAGAAGATGACACAGCCTCTTCCCTCGGGGAAGCTAATTTGCCGTAGAAAATAAATGTTGTATGGAACGGAGCACCCACATGCTCATTGGCATTGGAGAAGCGGCTGTGCTGTGGCCGTGCTGTGCTGAGCTCAACCTGGGGACAGCCCAGCAGAGCCTGCACAGTCAGCTGCAGTCCGTGTAGCACTGCCATTCTAGGTCTGGGGGTTGGTCAGCCCTCCCAAGCACCTACCGCGAGCAGATGAGTGTGATATTCTCATACTAAGAAAAAAAAAACAATATAAGGAAGAAGTTTTTTACAATAAGGGCAGTGAGGCACTGGAACAGGTTGCTTAGAAAGGTGGTGGATGCCCCGTTCAGGGTCAAACTGGACAGGGCTCTGAGCACCTGATCTAGCTGTAGGTGTCCATGTGCACTGCAGGGGAGTTGGACTAGATGGCCTTTACAGGTTTCTTCCAACTCAAATGATTCAATGATTCTACAATCAAATGTCCTTGTGCTATTGTGGATCCAGACACCCAGCCTCGTTGTTGATGCTGTTGCAGACTTTTCCTTTTTGCATTTTTGTGACCTGAAAGCAAACCTGGTTTCCTGTGTGTGCAAATTTTTGCACAGCCACAGCGTACACTTCTTTAAATTTATCTTCCCTCTCCAAGTCTGTCCAGTTTCAACAAACTACTGCAGCATGGATCCATCAGTGTAGGCTGCATCCCTATCAAACTTCGGGTTCACAATTCACATCTCTAGGACACTTCATCTCATTAAAAAGAAAAAAAACACCAAAAAACAAACAAACAAAAAGATAACGCATGCAAATATAAATAAAGGAACATATAAAAAATAATATTGCTTTTATCTTTTTCCTTTTTTTTTTCATTCTTCAAATGTATTTAAATGTCTTAATCAATTTTAGTCAAATCTTCAAGAAAAATAAACGAGCATTTCTGGAGATGAAGCATGCCAAATATTTGTGTGAAATAAAGTTTTGATAGAAACATCATCCTGTTCCACCTTTGTTTTCCTATGGGAAAATGTTTGGACCACTTTAACTACAGGCATTGGGTGCTGTGAAATTATGTATCTGATGCCATCTTTTTGAGTGCTGCTCTTTTCAGATGCCACCATTATCTTACTTTGAATTGCCATATTTCCCCAAAACACAGGACGTTCATTCTTATCTGCTACTTGGACAGTTAGTGTGTTGAGGTCAGTCCTCCCAGCAGTATCTTCAACAAAAATCTGTAAATCAAAGCGCTTTGGCATAGTTTCATAATCTAGGATAGGGTTTCCTGTGGTAACAACCTGAAAATAAAAATCAATGTTATTAGCACATCATGCAAGAGATGTAAGTTACAGTCTATAGGAGTGAATCTAAGGAACATCAACAAGCAGTGAGCATTTTAGATAATCTTCCACTTACTGACACAGCTCTTGCCAGTGCAAGAAATGTGAGGAAAAAAGGACAGGCAGACCAAAAAGTTGTGGCTTTGTGGAGCAATGCAAGGACTTATTGTGTGAGGGACAGTCTGGGGAGCAGAAAGCCCGGCAGGAACTGTCCTGCCCTGAAGGCAGAGTGTTGCCTTCATGACCACAAGCACATCTCCTTTGCAGAAAGGATCATGCAGCAGGAGTCTGTAGAGCCCAGCAGGAACAAGGCCCTTCCCTTTGTAAGTGGGTCTAGGAGAAGACTTGCAGGAAACCACAGGAAGGAATGAGCTGCAAGAGCACACCGCATGAAAGTGAGACCAGAACTGCTTGGGGAAATTGAACTAATTAAAAATTAACACAGTCCTTATGTTTTGTAAGCCTGATAATGCAAATGTTTGATTTGTTGAGATTTTTTTGAAAGGCTTCCAGCTCTGCACATCACCCCTTAAAATAGAAGGTGATAATCAAATGGCTTGGCTTGGAAGGGAGCCTAAAGTCTGCCAGTTCCTTTCTTGTGCTGGGGGCCCCAGGCCTGGACGTAGGCCTTGATCAGAGCAAGAGCAGGATGCTGAAAGTTGTATGCTACAATCATCACTGTGAAAGCTAATAAAGAAGCAAGAACTTTCCTTTCTTGGTACAAGAAAAAAAAATGTAGCTGCTAACTTTGTGAATCTAGATGATCTCTTTTGAAGTTGCACTTGTGAAGAATGGCTTTGGACTGGTGTAGGCTTGAGTGGTTTACTTCGGTTCCAGGCAGGAGCAGTGCTATCTGACAAAGGCAGCATCCACACACCTGAAGCAGCTGCAGATACAGTGAGCAGCATCTTGAGTCACTCCATAACTGCCCAGCCCTCACTCCACATGGAAGTCTCACTGCTCCTTGCTTTCCCCTTCAGTCCTGGGGAGCAGAGGGAGCATCACATCAAGATAGCTTTGAGCACAATATATTTTCATTCGATCAGCACAGTGTTTACATCTCAGTAATGAGGACATTCTGAGAAACCCCAAAGCATATCAAGAAGTGTGATATTGCCCAGGCTTGCTGCAAAAGGGCTTGGTTCACAAATACAGGAGAGCCTGTGCTAACAGGTACTTACCTAAGCTGTAGGCCCCATACCTTATGTACAAATATTGCTTGTATCTTAGCAAAGATTTAGTGGCAGTAAGAAGAGCTGAGGGATCTCATTTTGGACCACATTACTCTTGAAAAATGTTGTACAAATCCGCTAAAAATAGTGTAAATAAATAAAAGTATCAGAATTCATCAAATAAATTAACTAAGGACACTCATGAGCATTTATCCTTGCCTTGTGGGTTGCCAGTCAACTGCTAACTTGCACAACTGGTATGTAGCTTTCTTTATGAGTTTCTCATGACTGATATTCACTGGCTCAAACACCTCATTCCAGTTCCTCAAGTGGGTTAGGAAACCCCAATACCAATTACTGTTCAGTCAAGTTATACAAAGTCCTCAGAGGCAATTTAAGTAATGGGACTGTGTAAAAATGATGATGACAAGCTGGAACTTTGGAGCGACAGAGACTTTTAGCTATTTGCAAGGTCATTCTTCCTTCAGATTAGTTTTCCAGTCCCACTCCTCAAGAAGCACAGTGCTGCACAGCTAGTAGATGGCACAGGACAGGAATGAGCAGGCATAGGAAAGGACTATATTTTGCAGCAGAAGGGACAGCTTCAATTCAAAATGATACAATACAGCATAGGAAGTGAGAAACTTTCAAGAAACCTCCTCGGAAATGCCCAAAAAAGCATAATAAATTGTTTTTTAAGACTCTACTCAGTATGTATCTGTATCTTTTAAAGGTGCTCAAGAGCATCACTGTTGAGATTCAGACACACAAGTGGGCTGCAATGGGGTGACAAGCATCATGCCTCTGAACACTCATTGCCAGTGGCAAATGTGAGGCAATGCTTGCTAATTTATCCAGCAATGAAAGCTAGCTGGAGCCAATAGAAACTGCCTTGCATTTGACACAGAAAAAGAGCACACAATCGATAGAAATAGATCAGGGATGTGTGGAAGTGTGATAACTTTGTACCTCCAAGTGACTTCCTCATGGGTCACAGCTCTCATTCAGTGTTAAACACAGCTTTGATCTGACTCAGCTTACACTGTTTTGGAAGTGAGTCAAACTCATTTCAGTTCTAGGTGGGAGTGTCCAAGCAGGAGCTCCATGTGATTTAAACAATCCACTTTAAATTCACAGGCAACTTCATATTAAGTAGGTTGAAAAACTTACAGATAACTACAGATAAACCCACAAAACAGAACTCTGTCCTATATACCCTTGTGATTATTGTGATGAGTGGTTTCTGCCTAGATGCAATTAATTGCAATCACTATTGTTACTCGTTTGTCCTATCTACTGCAGTATGTCCAAATAGCACCACAGTCTGCATTTACAACACCTTTCTGATTAACAGATGAGTCACTGTGCACTGCCAATTCTCAGCAATCCAGGAGCCATGAACCGACAGGACGGAGCATTGCTCAAACTGAACAGAAAACTCACCCTATACACAAGATCTCCTGCGGATACAATAGCAAATGCTTCCGTAAGTGGATTCGAATTTACTATGGTAGGATGTATTGCAACAACTCCAGAAGACAATGGAGAACCAGTCACATTGAAGGTATAAACGGAAACACCAGCTGGTGCATTTTCTTCAACAGTACTTGTTGCAGGTAAGCCCCTAAGCAGTGGGGTTCTTCTTCCTGTAAGATGAAAATGATTGAAAAATTACTTCCAGGAGTCCCAGACTGGCAAGAACACACAACTGCTGCCAAGAGGTGTCACTGAGCACAAAATGCCCTTATTCTCCTTTTGCTGATGAAATGTGGTTTGCACTGCAGTAAGCCCATTACTAATGGCAGCAGAATCGATCTTTTCTTTGATTCAGTACTGTGCTATTTTCACCTCAGATAGCTGATGTTTAAGGAGTATTGCCTTCATATCCCCAAACTGGCAGCGTACCTCAATGAGACTGAGAAGGACAGAATGCTGATGGCTTATCCAAAACACTTGCCAAGAAAGCTGGCTGCTGTTGGTAAAATTTTCTGTGCACTGCATGCCAGGACAGCAGTGGACCCTGCTCACCGAAAGGCCAGGCTGCTCATATCCCAGCAGCAGAAGTACCATGAAGTCTTTCTTTTGCTGGGCAGCTGCAAGGTAAAAAGCTTCTAGGGGGACTGTTCTGAGGCCGTCAGGTCTGCAGCATGTTTGCACCTGGGTGCTCAGCCTGAGCCTTAGGAATGCCAAAGGGAAATGTGCTGTGTTGCAACACCTCTGAATGGTGGGAAGGAGCCACGTCCTTCTGCCCCTCCTCATGTGGCTGAGGAAGGATGGCCCACTTCAGCCCCCAGAGAAGCCCTACAATTGCCATTCCTCAATGATGGCAGGGCCTTTAATCTGGAGGGAAGAAATCAGCTCCAAGAGTTTCAAATGGCATTAGAAGAAGCCTTGGTGATTTTTGCCCTAAACTATCAAAAATCTTGTTTCTCTGACTCACTAGTGACCTTTTGGAGCAGATTACAAATGATTTGTGTTTGTGTGACAGACACTGCTTCTGTTACTGAACTCTCAAATAACCATTCCCCATAGGACCAAAGACCCTGGGTCCTAGTGTCTTTGCTTCCCAATAAGCAAACGCAATAGTGATAGGTGAGTCCATGAGGCAAAGCATGGAGTACGGTCCCTCTTCCCTAAACCCAGTGAAGGACTAAGCTTGTCTCAGTGTTCTTAAAGATTCCAGAGACCATTGTCAATAAACATTGCCTTTGTAAATGAGATTGTGCTGAGAGTGCTTTCTGGGAATACATCACAAATGGAGCTGAGCTCTGAATGTAACCTGTGGGCAGTGTTCAGTATCTAGTACTTAAAACAAGTCAGTTCATTGACAGAAAGCATTTACAAAGTCTATTAAATCATTCATAACATTTGGAAATGTAGGGGGAAAAAAGTTTATATTTTCATATTATCTCTGAATGGTTCCTTGGCTGTTTACTCAGGATTCGTCTTTCTAAACCATAAGTGCTTGCTTTTTGCTCTTTTTTTTTAACTGAAATTTTCTATACTGTATCTAAATGGTTTCTTCTTTCAGCTGATTTTACAAAAGCCCTCCCTCTTTTTCCACAAGTCCTTGGTTACCTCCTCACTTACAGCATGAGCCATGCTTGAATAAATTTAATACACTATTTATCAGAATTACCAGTCCCAATCATTAACAAATTCTGAGCCCAATATAAAGCAGTTATGGGAATGGCTTTTGGAAGTATATGTATATTCAAGCCCTAATTACCTGTGATTCATTAACATTTACAGAGGGCTTGAGTCATATCTTCAAGCTATTCTCTTCCCGTAACCACATAGGTTAGACAAACTCTGTTCTTCAGGACCAGTTTAGATTCACATGCAGTGGCAATGCCCTGACAAAATGCAGGGGGGCATCAAAGAAAACACCAAATACTGTCAGGTTTCTGAGGATTGGAAGAATTCTTTCAGTTTCTTGAGAGCAAGTGATGCTACCTGAGAAGACAGCTTGCTACAAGCAACTCCATCAGTGACACAGATTGCAGTTTGTAGATCCATTTTAAGTTGCTAACATGTACGTATTGGCAAACTTTTTGTGTTTTTACACTGAGCAAAAATAATGATATCCTCCTAATATTCTCCATAAGTGTTTTTCTGTTCAGCTTTACTTCATCAAATAGAAATGCTAACAATATTTGAAGGGACAATGCTACAATATTAAGAGTAGATAGCATTTCTGGCAGAACTGACCTCCTTTCCCACTCCAACACTGTCACACTGAGCAGCAGCTATTGCACACTGAAGTGCCTCTTCCACAAAAAAAGTCTTGTGAGAGGTCATATTCTCTTCATTATACTGCTGCAACCACTGCTGTAATCTATTTCAGTAGGAAAATAATTGTTACTTGATTTTTTCCATCTGTGTCTGATCCCTAAATATGTATTATAAAGTTCCCAAGAGAAAGTACAACAGCCAACAGTGTTCTAATTTTAGCAGTGTAATGAAATCATGTTCTTACCAGATACTACTACTCCCAGCAAAATGAAGAGAAGGAACGTGCTCTTCATCGTCTTTACAGCCCTGTCCTTCGTGTCCTCAGGATGCCAACTAAAGGAAGACCATGGCATGTTTTCCCTCCTTTACAATCAGCTCCACCTAAATTCTTCCTCTTTGTCATGTGGCATGAGAAATGAAACACAGGACCGTGTCTCTAAGGGAGTTTCTAAACACCGTCAGCTTGTTTGCTTGTCAGGGAACTGCTCCTTGCTCACGCTCCAGCCACAGACCTGGGCCACACTTGAGAAAACAGTCATGAATAATCCTTTCACTGCAGTGATCTTTTTTACTGAAGCATTATGAAAAGAACCTAGGAAGTTCTAAATGTGGAAATGCTGCACTGTTTTCACAGCTCTGGCAAATGAGGTGATCTCTTCAGAGACCAGGATCAAATACTCATGCTTTCTTTCTTACACCAGAAACCTGATGTTTTCTCATTTCACCAGGTACCAGAGAACTACTCAGAACATGCACTGTATACCTGGAGGTGAGACTGCAGCACATGCACGTGACAAAGTCAACTTTGCCGTAGCTGTCTCAGGAACAGCATGGACCAGCAGTGCACTGATTCCTTGGGTTGAGCATTTAGACACTAGCCCACAATACACTTGTGCAACTTTTATTTGTTTGACCTAAGGGCAGTCCTAGCATTTTTGGTGAAGCGTATTATCGAGGTGGTACTAATACTGGAACTGGTGGAATTGGATGCGATATAGGTGCATCATTATCAATTCACAGAATGATTCAGGTTGGAAGGGACTTCTGGAGGTCACCTAGTCAAACACCCTGCCCAGAACAGGCCCAGTTAGATCTAGTTGCTCAGGAATTTGTCAGTTGGTTCTCAAGTACCTCCACACAAACTTTTCAGCTCTGCAAAGAAGTTGGAGCTAGTGATTCAGTTTTTTACACAGCTCTGGAGAAACCACACCGATCTGTGAGCCTCTAGATATACCTCTGGAGGGTTCTGCATGATGCTGTGGCTGTTCTGGTGATACTGCTTCAGGGAATTTGTAAGAAACATCCATTTGGTGCTTCTAGTGCCTGCTGAGTCCAGATATGGCCTTGGCCTACAGGCAAATGTGGTCACACTATGTCACCTGGAAGCACATGCAGCACCACGCTGTTACTGGGGAAGCTAATCTTCCACTGCCCTGGGAAATGTGGGCCTAGATACTATATTAGAAATATATATGTATATATATGGAAAACCTCACCCTCAAATGACCTAATTGTGCTGATAAGATATGAATGCATATGTATTCATAGCAGAAAAAAAAAATCTGACCTGTTCCTTTACGTACCAGGTCATTGCCCAGCCCTTCACGTGCATTTCTTGGGTCTGCAAAGATGCTTTTGACCTGAACAGACGTGTCACAAAGATGAGGTCTGTGTGCACAGACATGAACAAGGCCTGGGCAATAAGTACATAATGATTTACAAATTACCAGAACAACATGAAACTGCTGCTAGATTTTTTCCCTCCTTCTAGTTGTAATGTCTAATATATCCCATTATATTGCTATTTATCTTACTCTTAGAAGAGGTAAAAAAAACCAAAGGCTAAATTTTAAAGTCTGAAAAATACATGTTTACATTTGGTTAGCATTGACTTTGATAGATAGTTCCCATCCTAAGCTCCAAATAGCCAAACCATGCGAGAACTCAGAGATCACAGTTTTTTAGCCTTTATTTTCTTTCTCTTCATTCTTTGGCTGCTTTGGGGAGTTTGCTGGTAGTGGTGATTTTTTGCTTTGTTGTTTGATGTTCTTTTTTTGCCTACAAATACATGCTTCGACATCTTTGTTTTGTCTTTCCTCTGTGTGAGAATTCACATGGATCTACTTTCAACAGGAACTCAGTATCCAAAGATACCAATCAGACTTCTCCCTGCACATCTTGTGCCAAAGACACCGTAGAGGGACCCTGGAGACATGGGCGGTACAAGCATTTGGAAGACATACATGCTTAAAATGCCAGCCTCTCTCCAGCTTCTCCTGGAAGTGCAACAACTTTCAGGTGCTGTGTGAATTCCCAGTGGAACAGTTAAAATGTTTTTCCTTGAAATCTGTCTTCATGGCTTACAGGTATTCCCTGATAAGCCACCTGGTTCAAGCATGCTGTGAGAAGATCCCACAGAGGTGACCAGGGAGGGAGGGCTGGGGGGGGGGAAGCACAGAGCAAGGGAGGAGGGGACAAAGAGCAGCTGTGGAAGGAGTGCCTGTGAGCAGAAAGGGCTCTGGCTCTTTCTTCCTCCTTAATGCACTGTCAGTACCTCTCAGTACCTCCTTTGGCCTCTCTTTTTTGTATTCCCCTGCTGAGATGGTTTGTGTGGTTCTCTGATCTGTCCTGCCAGGTTGTGAGGAATGCGAGAAAGATGCCAGAGTTAAGAGAGCCCCAAATTGGGAGAAAATCAAATAATATCAATAAGTAAATCCATATTGGCAAATATAGAGGTGCTGAGGAAGAGATGAGTTAGTAAAGGTGAGCAAGGCAGGAGCAGCTTGCTGGCAATGAGCTCTGCTGCTGCAGGAAGGACAGGGATGAAATCTGTGGGGTATAAAGCAGCCAGATGAAAAGAGGTCAGGGCAGTGCAGGCAAGAGTGCAGCCAGGGAGTTTGCAGGCGAAGCAGAGGGAGGGAAAAATTAATTGGAGCACATGAAAAGGTCAAGGAAGGAGCTGAGGTTTTAATCATTCTTTGTTTTTCAAGATGATCTGAAACCTGAGCATTTTAGAGCACTGCTGAAAAAGCACATTTCTGAAAAAAATGTCTTCTGGATTATCAGATAAAATGGAGAGAGTGAGAGGAAGGTGCTACACCTTTCAAGAAATTAAGGGTCTTTGTTCAGGGAAAAGACCAACAGATCAGCATGAGAGAGGCTGCTCCCATTTTAGGCTGGGATGCAGAGATAAAGCACATCAAAATTGAAGATATCAGGTAGAAAAGAGCAAAATCTAACATGCAAACTTCCAATTGCCTGTCCTCAAGAAAATGAGGGATTTTAACAAGTGTCAGAGAAGCAGTCTCCTTGCATAACAACATGTGCAGCTTCAGGACTCTTTTTCTGTGCACTTAATTTTCAACAGCCTTCTAGTCCATTAACAGGAAAAAATGTTCTCTCGCTTTTCAAATACATCAGAGGTTCGAGACATAATTTTCTCATTAATGGCTATTTCAGCCAGAGTAGCAGCTCTCTTTTGTGTAGCCAACCCACAGGAAAAGAGGCATTTTGCTCTTACTGCGATAAATACCCACTAAGAATTGAGCAGCTTAATGAGAATTTTCCCACCCCTGATCCAACTTAAGGTCAAGGGTATTTATTGGTATTTCACCAGTCAAATTACTCAGATTGTCAGCTTTTATTTTCCTATCCTCTCTCTTTAAACAGTACAGCTTCTTCATCCGCTACCTTGGTAACCTTTTCTAAAATATTAAAAGAGTACCTCAGCATCCTACACCAAAAACTTACGCACCATTTCATTTGACTTCTCAGCTAAAAGCTTCCTCTGTACTATTTGTGAGTAACAAGAGCAAGCTAAAAGCCATGAGTATCCAGGCTATCTTAATCTCATGATCCCAGCTTAGCAAGTTTAGTAACCGATCCCATGCAATTATGTAAAAACGTCCCAGACGGATATCTGGGCCATCTGTTTTCTAACATTGACTTGTAGACACGTAAACGTTATCAAGTCGTCTTGATAATTAACTTAGATGTCTGTTAATAAGAAGCACTACCATCACATCAAGGGCTTTTATGGCATTCAGCTTTAAGTAAAGGACAGTCTTAAATCTGAGTAAGGACACACAGAAGCCTGAAAACATAGTTGTTGTCAGAACTGAAAACAACAGGATGGAGGTAGGCAGTGGATTGCAGAATCTCATAATCATAGGGGTTGGATGGGACCTCTGAAGATCATCTAGTCCGACCCCCTTCTAAAGCAGGTTCCCTGCAGTAGGTTGCACAGAAAAACATCTAGGTCAGTTTTCAGTATCTAGAGAGAAGGAGACTCCAGACCTCTCTGGGCAGCTCCCATTTGTGCCCATCACCCCTTGTTCCGTTGCTAGGCTAAAATGAACCTGGCCTCATCTATTTGATACCTGCTCTTGAGATATTTATAAGCACTGATAAGACACTGAAATTAGTTCAGTAAAGCTCTAGACACAGGAACATATCCTAGAATCCTTGAATGGCTTGGGTTGGAAGGGATCTCAGAAATCATTGAGTTCCAATGCCACTGCTGTGGCCAGGGTTGTAAACTGCTAGATGAAGCACTGGATCAGGTTGCCCAGGACCCCATCTATGCCCGTATAACTGAGTTCTCCCTACAGAGAAGTCAAGTGACTTTTCCAGGCCCCCGCAGAAAAGGACTGCTAAGTTCAGTAGTGCTAATTGTAAGATATCATGACTTCAAACAGCATTTTCTTGCAAAATGTTTTTCCCTGTGCTGTTTGTTTGTTTCAACAAAACATTAAAGTTGGTGAAGCACAAGCTCTGCTATTCACTCAGTTGAGCAAAAGTAGATGCTACCAGAAACTACTTTGTGTTCTGTGGTTCAAGATCAAAAAGTCATGGTATTTTAGAACATCCAAAACCTGCAATAAATGCTACCTCTTGTCCATGTCAGCCACGTATGTAACTTGGATTTTAGTCATGTGAGCTGTCTTTAAATTCCTACATACATTAAATTCAGTGAAAAACGCACTGAGGTCAATGAAGTCTCCTGAGTGCTGGAAATTGGATTGGGGTCTGAGCTCATGTGGTAAAACCTTGTACCTTGGGATACAGTATTTACTGCAGATTACAAATTTGTCTGTTACTGTGATTGCCAGGCCACCTGGGATGATTGGTAAATATATAAACAAGGACTTGAAGTAGCAAATGATGCAAATGCAACAGGAAAGAATGCTCTGGGTAAATATGGGTGCAGAAACTCTGAGGTTTCTATGTACACAACGTGATGCACTTCACTTTGGCATATACTTCAATATACCACCAAGAATTGTTTAAACAGGCCTTTGCATCACAAACCACACTACAT